CTATTCTTAGCGAACAGCATTGCCTGAAAAGAGATGGGGGTTGCGTGCAGTGAATTAGACTTATTGTCCGCCGTAACAGCGTCTATTCATATCGATACATTGGGCGTTTTCTATTTGATGACACAAGTCAACACAATTATCATTCTGTCTTTCTTGATATTCAGTGAGTAACAAAGATAGAATGATATTTGTGCAACTTGTGTCATCAATGCGTTCCGTTACGCATGAAGCGCATGATGCATCATTTATCTTTGTTGTTTACCAAATAATAAAGGATAAAATGATGCATTATGCGCTTCATGTGTAACTCGGAACACACTCCAAATGGAAAGCATCTATTCAAGTAAATAGACATTGGATGCTTTCCATTTGATGACACAAATCAACACAATCATCATCCTCTCTTTTTTGAGATTCAGTGAGTAACAAAGATAGAACGATATTTGTAGCAACTTATGTCATTAAATGGAAAGCTCTTATTCAGGAGTCAGGTGAGCGAACGAAATGCGTTCTGCCGTTAAAGTAGCCGTTATATATATGTCGCAAACACGTGCGTTCGGCTAAAGTTGTGGAAAGCTCGAATGCGACGTATATGTATTTTAGACGCCGCGATCTCTGAACGAGCTGGCATAGCGCATAATATGCAACAGTAATATGCGAACAATATTTGTACATATGCGATAAAATGTAACGCGTTGAAATACAAAGGTAACACAACTCCGTAACTAATTGTAAATTCTATCTCTTTATCGTATCTCGTTACAATGATACATTACACATTAGAGGCGATATATTACGATTTAATTACATTTCAGGTACAAATGCTGACCTCTTTTATAACATCTCGTAATGATATACATATATGGCATATAGTATAATGTTCAATTGATATTTTGAAATGAATCTTTTAATCCGCGATATAGTTTGTTACATTGATGATAGGAAAATAGAAATTTAATATATTATATGTAATAAATCGCGTTAACCAATGGATATCCTAATCCTTGAATGAATTTTTATCAAAATTTAACAAATATAGCAACGAATTATTTTAAATCCAACGCTAAAAAGATTTTAAAAGTAAAAAATAATCAAAAGAGTCAATAGTCACAAAATGACTTTTTTTAAATTCTTTAGTCTTGAAGGTAAGAGTTGATCGAAAATAGAAGACTGTAATCAAACAAATACTGCAAATCTTTATTATTCTTTAATAATATAATAGGAATTAAATAATAAAGGTATTAATTTCGCTTAATACATAATTCTGTGAACAGGCATCTTATTAAATTATTTTTAAACAATTTAATTATTTATTGTTTCAGATACATATACAAATGTGTACTTTTTGCCACTGCGGCACTGAAGGATCCAGTTCGAGTTAAGCAAATAGATTCGACTTGAAGGTAGATTTTATGTTTTTTTTTAATATTTTACATTTGAAATTTATTAATTTTAAATATGTTCTTTTTACAATTAAATTAATATTTAATATACGAAATGTATAAAGAAATTCTAAATAAAGCATAAACATATATATAAATTTAAATATATATACATACAACTTAGTAAAAAATATTAAGCATCTTATTAATTATTATTTAAAGTTTTAATTCAAAAATTGATTTATAATGTTTAGTGTAAATTATCCTTTGTTTCAAGAACCTTTTCGAACGTATTGTATAATGTTAATAATCAATAAGTAACAATGCAAGCAAAAGAATTTTAGATAAGTGAAAAAAATAGGTGCCCTAATATTCTTTTATGGCCAAGATTGGAAATACATGAAACTTCAGAATTATTAATGTGTTATTCAAATAAAAGTATATATCTTTAAATGTATTATATATAAATATATATTATAAAATAATAAAAATTTCTTTTCTTATAATTAATGTAATTTGCCAAAATAATATTTTATATATAAAAATTATCTTGATAATTGTGTACAGAATACTTCAATTTATTTATTAAACTTGTTTGATGTATATTTATAATGAGCGATATATTATTTATGTTTTTTTTTGTTTCAGAATCAAATGCGAGACGTGACGATCCTGAATAAGAAATATTGGTGAGTAAAATTTAAAATAAGTTGGTGATAGTCTTTTCTCGCAGAAATTGCTATTTCTGAAATCAGTCCAATTCACATTTTACGTTAAATTTTTGCGTGTGTGCATATGAATTTTTTAATGAAAGGTGTCAAACGAAAAAAGGATATAAAATCATGTTTCTCTCGGGTTTTTGAAAACACATATTCGTAATAGAAAGAAAGAGAGAGAGAGAGAGAGAGAGAGAGAGAGAGAGAGAGAGAGAAAGAGAGAGATGCTTATAGAACTATCTTATTATAACACACTTATCGATTCGATTTAAAACAGACATACGATTGAATAAATATTTGACACAATATAATAAAAATTTCGATTGATTTGTGTCTGTGTGCGTATGTATTTTCTTTTTCTAATTGTTTTTTTTCCTAAAGTATATGATTCGATTTTACTATTGAAGCTTTACCAATATCAATATCTCTCATTACATCGTTGACCGATCATTTATCCGCTCTATACGGATCAATTTTTTAGACTATTTTTACCATTGATATTGACGCGGTTGAATTTTATAAGCTTTAAAATAATCTTGTAAATTATAAATCGTGATTATTTTGCGGTTATTATATCTTAATAGATTTTACAGTTTTTAATTTTCCATTTTTTATTTATTTTTTATTTTTAATTCTTTATGTTTACTCCACGTGTGAAAAAAATAATAAGATCCGCGAATATTAGGAAAGTTTGTGCAGAAATTCTAATTATGGACTCTGCGGTTTACTTTTTCCTTTCCTGTTTTATTTTCCTGTTTTTATTATCACAAATAGGAATAAAAATTTCACAAAATTAAGTTTATAATAAATATTTCACTTCTTGTTTTCTGATTATTTCTTTGACTAATTATTAATATTCACCATTTATTAATAATTTCATGTTGCAATGTTTCTTAATTTCGATTTTTCATTCATATTATTATTCATATATTTGCAATTAAATGTGAGTAGTTTATACAAATTTCATAAAATTAATTTTGCGAAAAGAATTTTACGATAGAAATTTTGCGATACTTTATTTCTTAATTATTTTATGATTGCAAATTATTTAGCAATTTCTAAATAATTATCATTATTGCTGGATTGCAATCTTTTATTTCATCGTTGTTACTATCAAACGATATTTGCACAAAATTTGCGAATATTAAGCTTTGTTACTTCGCATGAATATAGCGAGGCAATGCGATCTTTGTAAGAATATTGCGAAAATAATTTTCGCAGAAATATTACGAAGCGAGGTGATCTACGCAGGAATGTTACGAAGTAATAAATGTAAATGAAATTTATATTAAAATATCGCATTTTTCATTTTTTGGTAAATATGCTCCGATCTTAATTTATAATCATTTCGCGCTATATAGATTATTATTTAAAAAAAATGTAATCGCAATGTCGCGATTACATAAATATTCCAACATAAATAGTAAATAAATTTGTAAATTAAATATTGTGAATTTCATGTTGCAAATGAATCGTATGTGATCTAAAGTGAAGTGATCTAAAAAAGAAAATTCAGTAGAGTTATAAATTTTTTAATCAGATTTACACGTTACATTTTATGATAAATACTTGCTAATTATCATATTTGCGAGTAAATGAATTACAAAATTAGTTGAAACTGCAATTTTGCGAATTTTGTGTTGTGAATTTATGTGAAGTGCAATCAACGAAGGACGACTTCGAGAAAGAATCGCGAACTGCTATTGCAACAGAAGATGTATCAGCAGACATCGAGGAATATCGTAAAATGATGAGTGCTGAATTTCAATTATAAATTTTATATTAATCATTTTTACTTATTTTAATTACATTTTTACACATTTTGTAATTTGTTTGCAAGTTATATATTATTCTTACAATTTCGCATAATTGAATTTATTATCAACAAATTAATTACTGAAAATAAAATGATTATACATTTAAATTAAATTAATTAAAATAAAATAACTTAATTATAAGCATAATAATAATTTAAGCAGTTACCATAGTAATTACATAATTAGTCACATCCTTTCTAGAAATTAATTTAATTAACATTTTATCGATTACATTCTGATGATTTAAATGATAGCAATTTCTAACTTAATATTTTATATAATTATTTCTTAAACATAAAAGAAAATTTTAATAAGAGTTTATATACGAAAGAGATATCGGGGATGAAAATGATCGATATGTATTTATGTATCACTAATATTTAATGTCTTATATTATTATCAGCCTGTTTCTATCATTAAAGAACTATTAGAAGAATTCTTTTATTGCTTCTAAGAAATATTTGTTTCTTTCCAAAACTTATTGCAATAAAAAGTATATTTTATAAGTATATTTATAAAAAAGTATATTTTTTATAAGTAAATTTATAAATAAAAAAATTTATAAGTATATGAAAATATGCATATATGTACATTATATATGCCAATATATCTACTTATTGTAAATATATTTTTTTTATAATTTAAATATAAATTTCATAATTCTTCAAAAATATAAAACAATTATGAATTGTTAAGATCATTATTTTATTTTTTATTCATCGCGTGGTAAACTTTACTTACTGTAATAAAATAATTTTCTATACTTGGTTCCCAAATTCAATTCAAGAGAGTATGCAAAATTAATTTTCTAGGTATCTTCTATTTATATTATAATTTAATGCTTTTTATTTATTGTTATATTCTACATTATTATTATATTCTACAAAATTTGTATATGTATATTTAATATTTATGAAATGTTTATATTTATGCAACGTCTATATATATTTATAAAATTTTTATATGTATATTTCTTTCCAAATTTAATATGCTTAATATTTTTATATATTTATGTGGAAATATATTTATATGGAAATTTATTTTTTATATACATTTATATCCATTGCATTTTATTTTGTGTCTTTTTATGCAACTTTTGTTATTCTAGAATTATCCTTATCCGGACGATGCTTTTTGACAAAACTTTCGCCCATGAAAAAAAATAATAATAATCAAATATACTAAAACATGATTAAATACTACTTATATTATACAAATTCGTAATAATTTAAATTAAATCTTATTAAAAAAGGAAATTATTTTAGAAAAATAATTAAATTTTTATTTAAAAATCGAAGCTTCTTTGTAAGCTACTGAATGCAAATAATATCTTTCTTATAAATATTCTATTTATAA